AGAGGAAGGGATTACACAAAGGTATGAATGCTATGAGGTGGGGTACCTTAGAGTTTCCCCAAAAGAGCAACAGCGGACTAGGGGCTAAGCAGTGAGCTGCCCTTAACTCTGTGGATGGCGGAAGATAGCACTGTTCACAGTCCATTTACACGGGATTTAGCTCGGTGACTAGCAGCATTGTGTTACTCTACCTGCCATCGATGGCTTACTAATGCCCATGGTCTAAATTCAAGGCCAGACCCAGCACTTAGACCACCACTTACTCCCATACAGTTGGACCAGTCTATATAATGCAATGCTCGATGTAATTTCATTTTCCCTAAACAACATCTTGGAAGATCTATTTAAATGGAGGGCACCAGGCTAGCTCCGCCTTGAGATGCTAAGCATAATACAACATGGTCCTAGGTCCCTGCTGGAGGGCGGACACAGAGAACACCCCAAAAAACAGGGCAAGAATAGGAGGCCCTTGCTGAAGTCCAAGTCCCACAGGGCAATTGGTAAGTCCTGCAGGAATTATAGAGCAGGCAGAAAGCTCCACTGCTTACGGCGGTTAATAGAGTTTAGTATCTCCCCTAACCTAGACATGGCAGAGGAGTTGTGCCAAACTGATGCTTTTCTGGGAAGGACAGCTGAAGCCATAAACCGCTAGACCCAGACGCTTTCCACACTGTGGGCAACTGGTTGGGGAGGCTTCCTTGGCAACATTGGGGGACAGCAAGAGGTGGCTCCTGCCCTTCAACCTAGGGATCCCACCACTCCCGGTCTGCCTGGGAAGAGAGGTCCCAGCAGCCCTGCAGCCTTAGCCACATCAACAGGGAAGGGAACTTGGAAGGCAAAAGCAACCTGGGGCTGTGGCCTGGCTTCCTCTGGGGTGTGGGGTGGGGGTTGGGAGGACCAGGGGCCCAGCCTGAGCCAGGGCTCTTCCCACCCTCCAACTCCAACCCCCTTCACACCCAGGCTGCTTCCCAGCCCTTCCAACTGGTTTGGAACTTGGCACTGAGCGCAGTGACTAGGGGCTGACGCCGCGGAGGGCAGAAGTCGACTGGCTGGGGGGCAAGGAGAAGCCTGGCACAGGGCCTCTGCTGGCCCCGCCCCTTATCTTTGCTCCACCTGAAACCAGATTTGGCCCGAGTGCAGAGGAATCCCTCCACCTCCTCACTCCTCCTCTGCCTCGCTTCTCTTTCCATCTTTAGTACTGGACCATCTCAGGGTCTTTGTATAAACGAGTCCCTGTGCCTAGAACACCCTTCCCAACTTCATTTAATTCATTCCACTTAATTTTTAGGCTTAGACTTCGACTCAGGAAAGCTTTCCTTGATCTCCCCCACCTTGGCACACCTGACCCCTCATCATCTTACACAGCAAAGGCTTGACACCCTGTCTGTTCTCCTTTCTCCTCCCCTCCCCCTCCCGCAAATGTGAGGTGGCTGCAGCATTTCCAGTGCCTGGCCCAGGTATGATCTGTGTGTGTGGGGGGGTCCCCGCCTTTCCTCTATCCCCCTGCCCAGATGGGAGACTCCTACAATCGCTTCATTTCTTAGAGCAGGGGTTTCAAATGAGAGTATGCATCCAAGTCACCTGGGTGGATTGGTGATGGAAATCCATTAAAATACAAACCGCTTGCACCGCCCCATCCCTAGAGTTTTTGATTCATTGTTTGTATTTCCAACAATCTCCTAGGTGCTGCTGCTGGCCCGGGGACCATACTCAGAATCACCATCTTTAGAGCAGCAGTTTCTTCATCAGTAAAACAGAATAACAGCCATCCTTACCATAGGTTTTATGAAACGCCAGTGAGACAATGCAAATGAGGGACTCAGCATGGCGCCTGTACCCACAAGTGTTCAATACCTGTTCTCGATTGCTGCACGAGTGAGCAGAGGACATGCCCAGCAGGAAAAATACATCCAGGCCCAGAGGTGGGGAAGGGCCCAAGGAGGTCAGCCAGGCTGGCAGATGAGCAAAGCCCAGCCAGCAGCCAGGAAAACCTCGTTGCATTGTGGGAGTAGGTGGGACCCACACATAGTTCTGGAGCAGGACAGTGACAGGTGGAAGTTGAATGTGGCAATAATGGGCAGGAAGCCACTGCCAGCAGCAAGGCCTGCTGGTTGGATTCTCGTTGGTGATTTGGCTGGGTAAAGGGTTGCCAGATCTAGCAAATAAAAATAAAAGCTGTCCAGTTAATTTGAATTTCAGATGAACAAGTGATTTTTTGATATAAGTATGACCCAAATATTGCATGGACACATTTATATTAAAAAATTGTTGTTTTGGCCCTCCCTGGTGGCACAACGGGTGAAAGCACTGCACTAAGAAGCTTAAGCTACTTAAGCTTCGAGTTCGATCCCCACCTGCCCCTGGAGGTGACCACATGGCACAGCAGACCTCTCCTGACCCGCCCGCTGCTCCCCTCAGCCGTGTACTTCGTCGATCTGCCTGTTCTGCTCCCTGCTCTGTCTCTGGTGAATCCTCTCACCCTCCACATCTCTGGCCTGTACCCCAGTTCTGTATGAACAAGTAAATAAATCTTTAAAAAAAATTGTTGTTTATCTGAAAACCAAATATAACTGGGTGTTCTTTATTTACTAAGTCTAGCAATTCTAGCAAAATGCTGCTTGGTGCTCCCAGCCCCCAAATGGGGCGTGCTGGAAGGGCCCAGGTCCAGGCTCTTCTACTTGTCTTCCTGCCTTCCACCCGGCCACTAGGGTTAGGTAAGGAGCTGCACCTGCACCCAGTCTTGCTGCCCAAGACAAGTGATTATAGCTGCAGGCTGTGTGGGCGAGCTCTTTCATTCATGCCAGTTTCACCCAAAAAGAAAGTACTGGAGCACCGGAAATAGGCATTTGATCTGTGGCCTAAAGTACCTAAGGCTACTGCTTCTATAAAGAGGAGGAGTGACCTGCTCTTGGATTAATAAAGAAGCAAACAGTTGCCAGTGGCATTGACCCACTTGATGTGCATGGTCAGGGAAAGGCGAAAATCCTTTATTCTGAAGCCCCCAGTAGGCACAGGCTGGGGGTGGAGGGGCACTCACGCTGCTTGGCATGCCAGGAGGATGTGCTGGGTATGCTGCTGTGAACCACAAACTTGATCTGTGGTCCCTGACATGCTCAGCTCAGCGGGGTGTCAGAACGAGTACACTGCCAGAGGCTGCTTTGTCTCCGCCACCCCTTTAAGATCACCAAATCCCAGACGATTCAGATAGTTCAGGAAACAAGACTGTCAGAAATCCAATTTCTGCAAGAAACTTGACATCGGTTTTTTCTTTCTAATGAGAACTGAAGAAAACAATTTGCGTTCCATTTAAACACATGTGAAAATATTCTCGGATGCCTTGTGTGTGTCCTGCGCTGTGTTCAACGCGTTTTATTTAGTTCAGAAGTTCTCAGTTTGGGTTGGGGATTACAATGACCTATGGAGATGGTTACAAGTAACTCCCAGCCCCCACCCCCCTCAGGCATCCATATTTGCCCAGCGCAACCTCCTTCTACCAAAGTACAGCCAAGGTTGAGAACCACTGACTTAGTTCACCCCAGCTAATCCTCACAATAAGTCCGGCTAGGTGGCTTTAGCTCCATTTTGCAGGTGAAAAATACGGAGGCCCAAAGAGGTTAGATGCTGCCACGTCAGACCTCCCCTTCCCCGGGTCCTCCAGGGCTTGGGATGTTTTCAGGAGTCACTGTTACATATAATGCTCTCACAGACTCGCTTGTGACACGGTGCTGCCCTCAAGCCATCTTGAGATCATTTCCAATGGGGCTTTTCTGAGATACCAGCCAGACTTGCCCTGGTTCAGGACTGACACCAATGAGTTGCCCCTCAACCAGCACAACCAAGCCACTTGCCAAGCTGGGTCACAGAACACTGGCAGCCACCTTGGATTCTTCACCACCCAATAGTCTCAGCCAGGCTCTGTGCCCTTGCGCGCCCACTCCTCCAAGCGTTCCTCCAAAACCCTCCCTCTTGATAGAACAAACTCCCTACCTCCTCCTTTTCAGCTCATCTTCGCTGGGGCGTACATTCTCACAAGTTGTCGGAGAAGTCTCTGATCCGGGGTGTGTCGCGAGACGCAGATCCGAAGGGAAAACCTTTCCCTGACTCGAACTTCTCCCGAAGCGCGCAGGCAGACGGACCCTCCAGCCTCTCGCGCACCTGGACTCACCTGTGCAGCTCGCGCCGCGCGGGCCCTGGAAAAGCGCAAGGGATCGGCCAAAAGGCCGGTCAGTGCCTGCCCTCTGCTGGCCAGTGGCGGTAGTGGCAGCAGCGGCCGCTCCCCCGGCGGATCGGATGGGAGGGTGGGGGGCAGCTGATATTGTGAAGCTCCTACTGTGTGCAGGCCCTGAATTGTGAGCTGGGGATAAGGATGGACGCAACCGACTTCCACGGAGTCCAGGCTCAAACGAAGAGACAGACCACCGTGAGTCATTCAAGCAAATATGCAATGACAACTGTGGGCTATGGGAGCCTATGATACCGTGGTCCCGTCCAGTATGGAAGGAAGAGGTAGGACGAAGAGTGGACATGTGTGTGTGTCAGGGAAAGCTGTCCCTTAGGAGGGGATGCTTGAAGGCCAGGTGCCTTCCAAAGTCACACTATATCATCTCAAAAATCCTGCAAGCTGGGCCGCTATCTCCATTCGCAAAGCAAAAAACAGGCTCTACACTGGGGAGAGAATTTACTAAGGTCACACAGCGAGCTGGAAGCAAAGCCTGCAAGGAAATAAATCTACCCTTTTCGAAAATTCCCGCGTTCCCGCCGCTCCCGGGTGTGGAGAGATGGCGGCCCACACGGGCGTGGCGCCCAGTCGCCACGGGGCCTGGGGGCGGGGCCGGGCGGGGCGCGCGGGGCGGAGCCTAGTTCTGGCCCCGCCCCAAACTCCATTGGCAAAAGGGCGCTCTTGGGCGTGGGGCCGGATGGGGGCGGGGCCTCTCGGGGGCGGGGCCTGGAAGGATCCGGGCCTGCGGCGGCGGCCCCTGGTTTGTGGAAGGGGCGGAGCCGGGATCTCACCCGGGCCGGGAGGAGCAGGAAGCGCCCAGTGAGTGCCGGGCGGGGACCATTCACCTGTTGACTCCGTGCACTCGAGTAGAGGCGGCGGCTCCGGGTCCCGAGGTCCGGTGGGCAGTTCCCCAGGTAGGGCCGAACCCGGGCCGGAGCAGAGGCACGCCTCTTCCCGTTCGTTTGTCCTGCCGTCCGAGCCTCATTACTTCCTGTTCGTGGGTCTGAGTCGTCTCTGGCCATCCGAAGGGAAGTGTGGCCCCCACTTAGTCCTGCTGGCCAGTGCAGGTGGGGAGCCGTGACACCCAGCGTGCGGCGTCAGGGGAGCAAAGATCGTCAGCCTCCGAGGGGCGCTGGCCTAGCTCACCAGCTGGCTGTGTGACCCTAGGCGGGGAGCCCAGCCTCGCTGGTAGTGCTGGACAGGAGGTGATCCTTGCCCTGCGTGGGGCTCTGAGACTGGCCGGTCTGATGCTTACCTGTAGGCCACCTGCTGGGGACCTGGGGTCTGGAGCTTCCTTCCAGTGCACAACCAAGTGTTTATCTTGGCGCTGCCTCAGCCTCCTTCCCCACATCTGGGAGTCCAGAAAGGTTGAGACGCAAACCCAGGGCAGCTCACTCTGTTGCCTGTGGTGGGGCTGTGCTGGCCTGGGCTGATGTTCCAGAGTGGGCTCTGGCCCTGGGTGCCCTGCCTGGAGCTCCCCAACTCACTTTGAAGATAGAGGGGCCACCAGCTTGAGATAAGCAGACTAACCTTTCTCAGCTGTGGCAGCGGCAGGGCACCAGAGGGACCATAGTGCCCACAGGGCCAGCTCAGGGGCCTGTGGCTTCACAATGGCAGCCCAAGTGCTGATGCTGCAGCTGCTTGTGGGCAGTCATGGTGCGCTAGAGCTTTGCAAGGATTAGCTCAGTGATCACTCACGCATCCCTTATGTGGTCCCCATTTCAGAGGCTGGAAGGACGGCTCAGAGCAGTGAAGAGACTTGTGCTGGGCACAGCCTGGAAGTGGGAGAGAGGACTAGAACCCAGGCATTCCAGAACCTTCCCTCGGTGCCTTGTACCACCTGTGCTCGAAGTGTCCAGTAATAAAGCCTTGGCTTGGACCACAGGAGGAGAAAGAAGAGGAATTAGGGGCACCCCTGAATCCTGGGAGGAATTCTGCTGACTGAGGTCTCCTGGGGGAAGATGAAGCGTTTGACTTTAGATATGTTAGTTTGAGGGTGAGGGGTGGTGGAGGGGATCCATCACTCTCTCCTCTGTCTGGAGAAGGCCAAGGCGGTAGAGCCGGGTCTGGGGGAGAGGAGGTGCCTTAGGGATGGGTGTAGGTAGCAAAGTGTTGCCCAGATGTCACTCTCAGGAATCCCCTTAAATGCTGAGCAGACAGCAGTGGTGGGGCATCTCCTCGTGCAGTGGGGAAACAAGGGAAGGATGTGAGTGCTGAGAAGGCTCTGAGAACTGGAGACCATGTTTCATAGAAGGGGAAACTGAGACCAGCAAGTTACTTGCCTGAGAATATTCATGGGTGGCTTAGAGTGGGACCCAGGTGTCCCTCGGGTGCCACCTGCCACTCAGCTCTTTCTCCCTACCTTGGTGGCCCTCCGAGGGCACGTTTGTCTCCTGGAGACACTTGAAAGCATTTGGAGACAAATTGGTTGTCACAGCTCTAATGGGTCTTGACCTAGAATGCTGCTAAACACCCCACAATCCTCCCTTGCAACAAAGAGGGCTCAGTGGGTCACCCCGAGCCCCTCCCTCCCCCACCTCAGCTCTTTGACCTCAGCAGGGCATGTAGCTCAGACTTGGGCCTCCCACTAATCAGCTCCACCCCGACCCTGCTGGCCCTTCCGTGTTGCACCTTTATCCCTGGAAGCTTCTAGAGGCTTCCCCTGTTTCCCTGAGCACAGTGGTCTAGTGCCCTGCCGGCCATATATCTGTCTGTCCTCGCCAGTGTGTCCAACTCTCCAACCTTATAGTGACCGAACTTGGTGTCAGAAAGGGAGAAACCTAACTGGTGGTGTTCACCTTGCACAGCTTGGAGCCTGACAGATAAACAATGCATTGAATTTGAGTGACATTTTATGGGTCCAAAGAACTACCTTTTACCCCAGATTTTCATTTTAGCAATTCTCATCGTACCCTGTGTTTGTGTCATGCTGACATACGCTAGAAGAATCTACTGCCTCGTCCAGGGTCCCAGGACTTGCCTGAGAAATGCTGAGGTCTGGGCATCACGACTTTTGCAGAACTGACCCTGGTCCATGAACACGGAGGGGGTTGTTCTCAAGCATTGGCGGGCACTGGTCTCTCCTGGACTTTTGTTAAATGTGGATGTTGATTTGTGAGGCTGAGTGGGGCTTCAGGTTCTACGCTGAGTGGGGCTTCAGGTTCTATGTGTCTCTGATATTTCTGGGCTGGACCCTATTTTGAGTGGCAAGGCATCGCAGGGCTGGACAGCTGACCTGTGGACCAGGCTGCACACGGGACCATGGAGGGAAAGGAGTCAGGCAACTAGGCTGTGAGCATGGCCCTTCCCACCTCTGGTCAAAAGCTTTAACCGAGTCCATTAGCTGCTTTGAGGAGTGGTTGCCTGGCAGGCTAGTCCTCCAGGACTTTGGTGCAGGGTCTGAGAGAGGGAAGTGCCAGGGGCGGTGGACAGCCTGGGGCCTGGTAGGCAGAGGAGCAGAGGTCACTAGCCTACAGCCTACAGGAAGGGCTGAAGCTAGTAAGGAGCAGGGCACCATGCCAGCTTGGAGGCGGCTCTCATTATGACGCTGGTTTTTCTCCAAGACTGCTACAACCTCCTGCTTCTGGCTCGCCCGGCCCTGCCTGGTGTGCTGGTGTGAGAGAGCTGGAGGGACCGGTCTGGCTGGGGGAAGGAGGGGCAGCCTCAACGGGCCAGCAGCCAGCCCAAGGCTCGGCAGCTGAGCTTGCATCTGAGAAACGGGCTGAAGGGTGAGAACGATCACCCTGGAGTCAGACTGTGGGCCACGGACAGGCTTCTGGGAAAACGGGAAGGAGTTTGGGGCTCAAAACTGGGGATTCTTTCCATCTCTTCTAGGGGATGCTCTGCTTAGAGCATCGGAGGACACAGAGCTAGGCAGAGCCTTAGGTAGCTGGTCTACCCCCACTCATTGTGGGTTCCTACAAATCTGCCATGATGGCCTTTATATTCCTAGGACCAGGAGACGAGAGCTGAACCCATTACTCAGGTGAAAAAAATCGAAGCCCCATCATCCCCCCACTTTTGGGAAGAGCTCAGCTTTCACAGCTGTTGCTGGTATCCCAGCAGGGTGAAAAATCATCAGGCTGCACCCCCCCACTATTGCACCCCAGCGAGGGGTGCTTCCCGCAGCCTGTTCCCACAGTGGGGCCATCCCAGTGGCTCACACCAGGGCTCTGCGACCACACAGGCTTGGGTTCAGATCCTAGCTTCTCGCGGCATTGGTGGAGAGCCCGGGGAAGTCACTCCACCTGCCAGAGCCTCTCTTGGCTTGTCTGTAAACAGGGATAATAACACCTCGCGAGCCACGCAGCTTGTGGTGAGGATGTAATGAGCCCTGCCACGGGGCACCGCGGTTAGTCATTACTCACGGCGTTAGAGACACAAGGTGCCTTACTTGGTGCCCTCACTGGACAGATGTGGGGATCGGCCCTTGGAAAAGGGTCGCGGTCGACCAAGTGTCCCACGGCGTGTCGGCGGGCGACTGGAGCTAGACCCACGTTGCATGCACCTCCCGTCGCATGACTGCTGCCCTCTGCAAAGGTACCCCAGAGGGGACACCGTAAGCCTGGGACCTGGGGGTCACACCGAGGAGCCTCCCCTGGACATGAGGGGACCAGAACTTGGTCCCAGCGTCGCCACCGTTCTTTCCCAGCACCAGCCATGAACTACGTGGGGCAGCTGGCGGAGACCGTGTTTGGGACGGTGAAGGAGCTGTACCGGGGCCTGAACCCGGCCACGCTGAGCGGCGGCATCGACGTGCTGGTGGTGAAGCAAGTGGACGGCTCCTTCCGCTGCTCGCCCTTCCACGTGCGTTTCGGCAAGCTGGGCGTCCTTCGCTCCCGGGAGAAGGTGGTGAGTCCCTGCCGGCCAGCGGAGGGCCCCTGGGGGTGGGTGTGCAGTCCCAGGCGAGCACCCTGGCGCCCGTTTTGGATTTTCATGGTTGGTTTGGGAGTTTGGTCTGAAAGGATCCCCACTTTCCCCTGGAAGCCGCAGTGGATACCTCGTGACCCCTGGCTCTAGCTCACGGAGACCTCACCTGTGTGTTCTTGGCAAGTCACTTCATCAGCAGAGTGGCTGTGTTCTCACCTGCCTGGTGAGGGTGGGCTATGAGGGAGTTAAGTAGGAGCTAATAACACTTGCCAGGCCCAGGTATGTGGCGACACTCCAAGGCCAGTTCCTCTCCCCTGTAAGCCTGTGCTGTTTCCCTAGGCTCAGGTAAACGCGCCAGAGCTGTGTGCACACCAGGGTCTACTGTGGCCCCACCACGTTCTGGTGACTGAACTTTCTTGAATCCTAGTAGGAAAGTGTAACTCACAGGAGACAGTGTGGCCCAGTGGCCAAGGGCCTGGGGGAGGGGAGTGATTCAGACTAGTCATAATCTCACTTGGCCACTCCCAGCAAATTCCTTCACCCTCCAAGCCTGGTCTCATCTACCCAGTGGGGTGAACAGCAGGATTTACTGCAGGGGCATCAGTGGAGATAAAGGGGAGAGTCTATGTCCATCACTACAGAAGCTCTAAGAAATGATCATCTGGGGACAGTCAGCTGTGTGTCACACTCATAGAAACCAAGGCATACATGGGGGGACAGAGGCAGAGCCTAGAGAATGTGGGGGGTTGGTCAAGGAAAGCTGGGGGGGACTTTCTGAGAAAGGGGAGTAAGTAGAGCCCCTCCATGTGGGTAGCCCGGGGCACACCAAGGTCTGGGGAAAGGGTTTCAGCAAGCATGGTGCCCGTGTCTCCCAGACCAGCTGGGAGGCCACTGGACAGGAGCCTGGGAACCCTACTATCCATTCTAGGTGGACATCGAGATCAACGGGGAGCCAGTAGACTTGCACATGAAATTGGGGGACAGTGGAGAGGCCTTCTTTGTCCAGGAGCTGGAGAATGGTGAAGTAAGTTCCTAGCTGGCACTGCCCAACTGCTTCCTGGGTGGGGTTCTTGAGATGCCCCAGCCCCGCCCCGGGAGCGCCCATCTGTGGGGATGTGAAGCTGGGAGGATCCTTCTTGAGGAGCCCTGGGCAGAGTTGGGGAGGGCAAAGAGGCAGACTTCATTTCTGGAAAGATTTCTCAGAAAAGGTCATTACAGCTGGACCCCAGACGGGTGCAGAGGAGCCTTCTTGGGCAGCGGAGGGTGCTGAGGAATGGCCAGGAGGTGGGCTTGGTCGATGCAGATGGACTGTGGCAGAGTGCGGGTAGGGCATGAAGAGAGAGAGGTGTTTGCAGAAGGGAGGCAGAAGTTTTTCAGCTGTTTGAGCTTAACAACCTTTAACTGAGCCCCTATGATATGCCAGGTACTGTGCAGTAGACTCGCAGAGGGAATGACCCCTGCCTCTAGAGATGGTTCCCAAACTAACCTGGGAGACATGTAAACAACAGAGGGTGGAACTATTGTTGCATCTAAGGGGGCTGGAACTCAGCTGGGGACAGTCAGGGCAGCCTTCCTGGAGGAGGTGACACTAATTGAGTCTCAAAGGGGAAGTGCATGCTTCTCTCTGGACGGTGTGTATCATGGGGCACCCTGGGCTTCTTAGGTGCATGCAGACCCTGGACTTGGGGTTGCTTTGTTAGGTGCAAGGCCATGCTGGCAACACCTCTGTCGTCTGCACGCCTGTCTCCCTGGCCCCAAATGAGCTCGCTCCAGGGACTCAGTGCTCAGGATAACAGTTGGTGAGGTCACCTCGCCTCGTCCCGGCTGTCACCCCTCAGCCTGCCCTGGTCTGCTCCACAGGAACATGTGCCTCCCCGTCTGTGCACGTCGCCCATCCCTTGGGGGGGCCTGTCTGGGTTCCCCTCTGACTCCCAACTGGGCACAGCCAGCGAGCCAGAAGTGGTGACTGCGGGCATGACCAACACAGGGCGGAAGAAGAAGCGTCGCAGGAGGAAACCCAGGCGGAAGGAGGACGCCGTGGCGACCGACTCCAGCTCCGAGGAGCTCGAGGCGGGCACTGAGAATGAGCTGTCCCTGCTGGAAAGGCCGAGGCCAGAGGCCCCAAGGAGTGTGGGGCCCAGGTGGGGGACAGGGCAGTGGGGGTGTCCCTGGGAGCAAAGCGCTGTTCCCTCTGCTGATGCTGGGATCTTTGGGCTTCCACCTCCGTGAGCCCTGCTTTCAGGTGCCCGTGCCCTGCCAGGGTGCCCTGCCCGGGGTGCCCTTCCCAGAATCACCCTTCCCGGGTGCCCTGCCCAGGATCACCCTTCCCGGGGTGCCCTGCCTGGGGTGCCCTGCCCGGGATCACCCTTCCTGGGGTGCCCTGCCCTCTCGGTGACCGTTGATGTCCCTGTGGTCCCTCAGCAACATCCAGTCAGAAGACGAGTCCTCATCACAGCCCAGAGACATCTACCCCTACTCAGACGGCGAGTGGCCTCCCCCAGCCAGGTGAGAATCAGGTGGACAGCAGGTGGGGCTCAGGCCAAGTCCCGGAGTCATTTCCATTTACTTTCTCTGGTGGCTAACACCATGAAACCTATCTGTATCTCCTTTGCAAAGTGCTCAGGTTGCGTGCCCATACCTTTTACTATGGTCAAATACACATCATGTACATCTACCACTTTAACCATTTTAAAATGCACACTTTTGGGGCATCAACTATATTCACTATAATCTAGTTCAGAACTTTTTTGCCACTGTGGTGGCACCCTGTGCCACTCAGCAGTCTCAACCTTGCCTGGTTTTGGTTTGAATTGCCTTCTTACTGTGGATTTGTTGGGGTTCTTTGCATGTTTACGTAGTTTTTATAGCCGGCGTGGGCACAGGTACGATACCGTGCTCGTTAATGTGTCATAGCTGCCCCCGGGCTGAAGCAGGTCTGGCAGGCTGGCCTGGGGGCCCCTAATTCCGGTTTCCTGCAGCCTCCCACCCAGTGCACTGGAGTCCCCCAAGAGCGACTCGGAGCTGGAGCTGAGGACGCCTGAGCCCAGCTCCCTGAGAGCTGAGTCCCACATGCAGTGGGCCTGGGGGAGGCTCCCCAAGGTGAGTCCCCCCCGCCTCTGCCCCACCCTTGCCTTTCAGTGACTCTGCGCCTCTTGCAGTCTGGAATTGGGATGACTGAGATGTGAGTCACCCCTCGGGCCTTGTGGGGTGTGGGAGGCAGGCCTGCCCAGCCCACGCTGTCCCCCACTTGTCTGATTGCAGGTGGCTAAGGCCGAGTGGCCCGAGTCCTCAGTGCTCCCCAATGTCCATGCCGAGCCAGCCTCTCCATGCCAGGGGGAGCCCAGCTCCCCTCCTTCCTCTGGAGCAACTGTGGATCCTTCAAGGCCCCCAACCTTGCAAACAGGGGCTGGTACTGAACTTCTTCAGCTTAAAATAGACCCTGATCTGGATGGTCACTCTCTCCTGGCCCCTGAGAGACTGGAAACCAAGACTCAGAGCTCCAGGGACACACGCCCCCTTCCTGCCTTGAAATCATGGAGCTGGACCACTCTGGACGTCTCTGTCCCCACCAGGCAGCCAGAGGGGGTGTCCAGAAGGAAAGGTGAGAGATGGCTGCACCGTTCTCGTAGCTTCTCTGGCCTCAATTTATCTCCTGGGGTAAATGGACTCTGGACCTTCCAGCACACTTTGAGCACATACGTGTGCCAGGCACTGTGCTTGGCACCAGCCATCCTGGGGTTCACAGTCCAGTGGGCAGACAGATGACACAGGCATCCCCTGGGCGACGGGACAGAGTCCTCAGTCGGGATGGGGCCTGTTTGAATCACGTGGCCACTCTGAACGGGTGGCGTCTGAGCTGAGACATGGACAGCGGTCCCGCCAGGTGGAGATTAGGGGAAGAGAATCTAGGCAGCGGGAAATGCATGTGTGAAGGCCATGAGGAGGGAGAAAGGGTTCGTGTTCTAAGAGCTGAGCTGGCATGTCTTGAGTAAGGCAGGGGACAGGGAGAGGAAGCCGAGAGATGTGCAGAGGCTGGCTCAGAACCAGACGTGTGCTCACACCAGTAGTCACTGGCTCTCGATGCCTGTTTAAAATTAAGATTGACAACTCCGCCCCAGCACGGTTCACATGTGCTCAGTAGCCAGGGGGCTGCTCGCCACCAGTTTGGACAGAACAGGCACAGGCATGTCGATCATTACGTTAAGTCAGCGGGACGGCATAGGGCAGCTAACGGCAACAGAGTGCAAACACTGCTGGGCACAGGTTAGGTCTGCGGGTCCCCTCTCCTTTGCCCTCAGGGTCCCTGAAGAGAAGCCAGCACCTGGGCCCCAGTGACATCTACCTGGATGACTTACCCTCGCTGGATTCTGCGAATGCAGCCCTGTACTTCCCCCAGAGGTGCCTGGCTTCTGGGGGTGTCAGACTGTCTTGGGTTGGCGCCTTTGGGGGGGAGTGATGGGGGCCGGCTGTCCAGTCTCCTTATATTCACGTCACTTTTGCCCCCAGTGACTGTGGGCTGGGGGCCAGGAGGTGGAGTGAACCCAGCAACCAGAAGACCCTGGGGGACCCCATCCCTGAACAGGAGCCAGAACATACTTCAGACACCCCAGACAAAATAGTACTGTCCCTCTGTGGAGGACTGACTGAGGGCCGGGACATCTCCCTGGGTATGTTCCACCATGGCCCGCGCTCCTGAGGATTGGCAGTGAACAAGGGAACCGGGGGGTGGGGGTGAGGGTTAGATCAGAGGAGAAGACCCTGGGGCTGGGCCGGGCAGCTCTGGAGCCCACACTCAACCAGCAGGGCAGAGCACGGCACTCCTGAGGTCCTGCGGCACATGCTTGGGGCTGCAACGTGGCTTACTGTGACTCCTCCGTCACCAGTGCCTGGGGGGAACAGAAAGCCCAGGGGGAGGAGCCCCGCTAGGTCATGGACCAGCGCTGGGGAAGCCTGAGCAGAAGAGTGCAGGGAGCTGGTAGGAGCTGGGGCAGCGATCACATGGGCTGTGCCAACCTCACCCTCACTCTCTGCCTGTGTGCCCAGAGAAGTTCAACCAGCACATCGTCTCCTACCAGGATCTCACCAAAAACCCCAGCCTCCTAGATGACCCGAACCTGGTGATCAGAGTCAATGAGAAGTGAGTTCTGGGCTGGTCTGTGGCTCCCCGAGTCGCCCACCCCTCGCCTGCCGCTTCAGTGACTGCTGCCCCACGACACCCCGTTCTGTCTCCCCAGGCATTATAACTGGGCTGTCGCTGCCCCCATGATCCTCTCCCTGCAAGCCTTCCAGAAAAACTTGCCCAAGGTAATGGTGAGAGCGCCAGTGGACCTCCTGTGGCACTGTCAGAGCCTTGGGGGAGTGGGGCTCAGCTGGGCGTGGGAGGTGGGCAGAGGTGGGCAAGGGGCTGGCAGGCCGCATGACTCCCTCTGGGAGAGGAGACCGAGGGGGCCCGAAGCCCTGCCTCTGGCTGTGTAGACCATGTGAACCCTTCCTGGGTTTCCTGGCATGGCTGGATCTTGTTGGAGTTAGACTTTAGGGGAGCTCGGGCCAAGCCAGAGAAAGATGAACTTTCTACAGGGACATGCCTTCAGGGGGAGGTTTGCAAGCTAGAAGACAGGGGTTCCACTTCTCACCGAACCGTGGTAACCCCCCTAGGCTAGGCTCTGGATGTGCGCTGGCTTTCTCAGCACACACTTGTTGAATGCCTACTGTGTGCTGGGCCTCACCTAGGAATAGGTAAGTCTCCCTAGGCAGATAGTTTATCCAAGGCTCGACCAAATGAGTGAGATTCAACTGTGAATACCAGGAAGGAGAGTCTGGGATGCTCTGAGTCTACAGGAGGGGGTCTGCTGAGCTAGCACCCACCGGCAGGTATCTAAAGGAGCGGCGGGCTTTAAGGGCTGAGGGCAGGGAACAGCACACGCAGATGCTCAGAGGCAGGAAGGAACCCAGCCTCTGCACCCCCCCCCCCCCCCGCCACCCAGACTGGTTTGCATCTGCTCCTTCTGCCTTCTGGAGCCTCCCATGAGCTGCCCCACCCTGGCCCACTGTTCTGGACTCAGGCTTGCCCGGAGAACATCACTAACCAGCTGCTGACAGCTGGCGCCTCCCTTTCATGCTGCTCAGCTCTGCACCCAGGGCCGGTGGGAAGGAAGAAGGCCACTCTCCTGCTCGGTCTTCCTCACCATACCCAGACAGACCCACTGCTTGAGACCCCTGGGAACTCCCAGACTTACTCCCAGTCAAAATGGTCACCCCGGGTCACCCTGTCGACAGAGCCCCAGCCCAAGTTCTCTTGACTTGGATTCTTCAATCTGTCTTTGCAGGAAACGGGTGTGTCTCCTAGGTGAGCCTTGGCCTGGGCTCTCCCTGGGTTAGCAAAGTCTAATCTGCATTCTTACAAGGTCGTGTAGCCCCTGCCAGACAGTGATGTCAGCATTCAGAGAGGGAGGCCTCACATGGCGAGGAGCACTGGCCGTGGTCTTGGAGGTTGCAGGGAGCACGGCCTGTAGGCTGTCCTTCCTCTGCCACCCGGTGACATCATGCAGGGAGCCTGATCTTGCAGAACTCCCAAAGCACTGCCTTCAGCCACTCCAGTAGGGAGATTGATACGCAAGACTTGGAGGCCGGGCTGAGGGACGGGTTCAGGGAGGGCAGGTGGCCATGCCCCTTGGTCACCTGTGCTTGGCCCCACAAAGCGTTGCTCAGAACCCCGGGGTAGAAGCGGGCCTGCTTCCTCGGTGCCCAGCTATTGACCCAGCACCTGGCTCTGTGATGAGTTCCAGATCCAGGTGCAACGGGGCCCGGGCGAAGTGAGGAGGGTTTCTGTGATGTCGGGGAAAGACGCTGTGGTCTTCATCTGCCCACAGAGCACCGTGGACAAGCTGGAAAAGGAGAAGATGCCCCGGAAGGGTGGGCGGTGGTGGTTTTCTTGGCGGCGCAGGGACTTCCCAGTGGAGGAGGTGAGTGGCCAAGGCAGGGGGTGGGGCCAGTGCAGGCAGGAGGAGGGCAAGGGGGGCTCACTAGCTGGACGCTCTCCCCACAGCGCAGCGCCCAGAGGGAGAAAAGCACAGCCCGGGAGCACCGGGGGTGAGTGGATCTGGCCGGGGCCCTGCAGCTGCAGCCGGAGCCTGGGGGAGATTGGGGAGCAGGGTCCGGGTGGACAGGGATGAGGCCGTGGTTGTCATTTTCCAGCCACTTCCTTTTTCCTGAGAAATGTCCCCACTTTCCAGAAGGGAAAACAGACCTAGAAACACAGCAAAGCTCCCTCAGTAGAGTGGCAGAGCAGACCGGTGCCCAGACTCCTGGCCCAGACAGGGCCGCCAGTTGAGGAACAGGGCCGTCCCCAGGGGCCAGCTGGCCTTGCGCCCTGTTTTACGTCTGAAGTGACTCGCAAGGCCCGAGGTTGGGAGGAGGGTGCTGGTCAGGGGCCAGCTGACTGAAGCTGAGGCAGGTGCCCCTGGGAATAACCCTCAGGGCAGGGGCCCGCATCCGACTGTGCGGAGCCGATGACTGGAGCTCCTGGTCTCCGTTCCTTTTGTTACCTTTCTGGGTGAGATCCCCGGGCTGTGCCCACCTGTCTGCCACCACCCCCAAAATGGGGCACCGGGGGAGAGCTTCTGATCCCCCGAGAAGTCTCTGAGGGCCCCAGGGCCTTCAGCTGGGGGAAGCGGCCTGAGAGCAGGATACCCACAGGGAGAAGACTGATGTCCTGAGCAGCGAGGACGACGCCCCCGACAGCCCTGTGATCCTTGAGGCCCCCTCCCCGCCACCCTCTCCGGTCTGCACTCCTACCTACAAGAAGTCCCTCCGCCTCTCCTCAGATCAGATTGTAAGTGTGTGCACCGTGCGTCCGCATGCCAAACCCTAAGTGCGCCTGGGGTGCGGGAAGGGGACCGAGAGCAACCTGCCTGAGTTCCTGGGGCGGCCCGAGACACTTTCACCAAAGCCCAGGATCCAGCCCCGGGCAGCCTCCCTGCCGGCCTCTGCTCCAGCACCCCCGGGGGAGGCTGGCTTCTCTGATGCCCTCACCGGAGACGCCCTGTGTCGCCTGCAGCGGTCGCTGACTCTGGTCTGTCCTTGAAGCCATGGTGACGGGACTAACACTGATCACAGCCCCTCGGACTTCAGCAGCCCCAGGCCTGTGGGTCCTGTCCTCGCCTCAGGACTAGTGGCCCCGGGATGTTTTCTTCCCGAGTGTGGCTCCACGGTCAGACAGTGCCCAGGGGCGCGGGCCAGCCTGGTCAAAGCCCCTGGCTGGAACAGAGGGCTCACACCCGTCTTGGGCTGGTCGGGGGCCTGGAGCTGTGGTCACCATCTGTGGCTGAGGCCTGCCCTCTGTGGAACAAGGACAGGGCTAGAGCTCTCTCTCACAGCCCCCAGCCCCTGGTGGGGCTGTCTGTGAAGACCCCAGCAGGATCCCATCAATTTAGGGGGGTTTCTCCCTGCCCACTGCAAAGACAGTCTTGGCGCTGACCTGAGGAACCTGGGCAAGGGCCAGGGGCTTGGCCTGGTCTGTGGGCTCTGTCCCTCAGGAGCACGAGGGTCTGGCTCCTGGGCCATAGGGCCGGCCCCTGCACACCTTCGTGTCAAGGCCACCCCGGCCCACAGGGGTGTGTGCATGTGGCTGCCAGATGCATTCAGGAAGACTCTAGAGTTGGGCCTGTAGGCCACGTTTTGGGATGGGGTTGGGGTGGACGCACTGTCTGTGGTGGGTCACAGCTCCCCCCTTTACCTGGCTCCCAGCGGCGCCTGAACCTGCAAGAAGGTGCCAACGATGTGGTCTTCAGCGTGACCACTCAGTACCAGGGCACCTGCCGCTGCAAGGCCACCATCTACCTGTGGAAATGGGACGACAAGGTGGTCATCTCAGACATTGACGGCACCATCACCAAGTGAGGCCCCGTGGGGAGGGCAGTTGGGGGCTGGAGACTCGCTCCTCCCAGTGGCCATGCTGGGGCTGGGGTCTGCCTGGGAATGACCCTTTCTGCGGCCCTAGGTCAGATGCCCTGGGCCACATTTTGCCCCAGCTGGGGAAAGACTGGACACATCAGGGCATCACCAGCCTCTACCACAAAATTCACCTGTGAGTATCTGGGCGGGGCCGGCCGGGGCCCCAGGATGTGAGTGGGAAGACACCTCAGGCTCTACCCTGGAAGTCAGGCTTGGGCACCAGCAGAGCCCCCAAAGGAAGGGCCTGGCGGGTGCCAAGCACTGGGAGCGACTATGCTCTTACTAGCTCTGTGGGGCGTCTCCTGGGGCTGCGGGCCCGGGGTGGCTCTAACTGACCTTCGTGCTACTGGGGAACCAGTGGGCTGCGGGAGCCCCTGTCCTTCCCTGGGGCGGCTGCTGAGGCCTCCATTGTCAGGCCTGGCCCTGCTGTTCTCCCAGGTCACCTCCCCGCAAAGGCCTCTGGGTTTGAAGGCCGAGTTGAGGGTTGGGCAGAGCTGGCTGAAGCCAGCAGGGCAGAATGGGGGGTGGCTGATCTTGTGTCTCTGCATCACCCCTGTGTCCCCCTGCACTCTGCAGAAATGGGTACAAGTTCCTGTACTGCTCAGCCCGGGCCATCGGCATGGCTGACCTCACCAAGGGGTACCTGCGGTGGGTGAGTGAGCGGGGCTGTGGCCTCCCCAAGGGCCCCATCCTGCTGTCTCCCAGCAGCCTCTTCTCCGCCCTGCACAGGTAACCACCCATATACAAGGCAGGCCCACAGCCCCTGGGAGGTGGCCGGGGGTGCGGGGGCTCCTGCCAGGCCAGGCCAGCTGCAGGCTGGGACAGACCCAACTCTGCCACCTTCTGGTTGCTACCCCCTCCCTTTCACCCCCTTCCTGGCCCACGGTCCTGGCTGCCCCAGAGAGGTGATTGAGAAGAAACCAGAGGTGTTCAAGATCGCCTGCCTGAGTGACATCCAACAGCTGTTTCTGCCCCATGGGCAGCCCTTCTACGCCGCCTTTGGGAACAGGCCCAACGTGAGTGCGCCCCTCCCTGCCTGCGTCCGCTCCTGCCCCCCCCCAAGCCCCCCAGCCTGTCTGACCCGCCTCCTCGTGTCCTAGGATGTCATTGCCTACCGGCAGGTGGGCCTACCTGCATCTCGCATCTTCACAGTCAACCCCCGGGGAGAGCTTATCCAGGAGCTCATGAAGAACCACAAGTCCACGTGAGGCCACGCCCTGCCACGTGTCCCGCGGCCCCGTGCCCAGCCTCTCACTCTGGGGACTCCCTCTCGCAGGGCCCTGGAAGGACGGAGGCTGGGCCTGGTGGCAAGTCAGGCTCACACCAGCCCGTCTGCCCACAGGTACGAGCGGCTTGGCGAGGTGGTGGAGCTTCTCTTCCCGCCCGTGGCCCGAGGCCCCAGCACAGACCTGGCCAACCCTGAGTACAGCAACTTCTGCTACTGGCGGGCGCCGCTGGCCACCGTGGAACTTGACGCTCTGACCTGAAGCAGCCCTGCCTGCCCTCCTCCCTGGCCTGGCCCGGGAGCGACTGAGTGTAGGGGTAGAGTCCACAGAGCCGGCCCTAAAAGGGAGCAGGGGGCCGTGGGCCTGTCGGTGGCCAGACTCCTCCCCACCTCCGTCCTGCCTCTGCCAGCTGAGCAGAGGGGTGGGGCAGCTGCCCCAGGCCTCAGCTTGGTCTTGGCTTGAGGCAATTAAACCATCCTCACCTGAGCCTTTGCAGGGTTCTCCCTGCCCCCGACGCGCACCTCTGTCCCTGTCATCCTGGGCTCTTGGCCCACATCACGGTAGGGCAGTGACAAGGGAGGCCCCACTGAGGCTCAAGGCCTGTTCGCACAGGGAAGGGGACAGCGATGGGAAGAACACAATGCTCCCCGCCCCCCTAAGGGTCTGGACCATGCCCTCTGAAGTCCCAGCCCCTGCCTGCAGCTCTTGAGCTGGGCATCACTGCTGTCCCTGGGGGTGCCCTGGCATCTCAGTACATGCTACACACCCCACCCCCAGTCCTCCAGAGCCCCTCTGGCCACCAGGGCAAGCCAGGGCAAGGGGTAGGGCTGCCAGTGGACCTTGCCCGCACCCACCCATTGCCCCTGCTCCTCTCCACACCTTCCTGGGGATACAGCCCCAAACCCTGTGAGGACACGTGTAGACCTCCCTGCCACCCTCCCCAGGTTCAGCCCCGCTGGCTGAGGCGACTCTTACCCCAGAAGCTGTGGGAAGTGGGGGTGAACCCCACCCCAGCCTCCCCTCCTCCTGTCTTGGTGAAGAAAATGTCCTTAGATGAGTTAAAAGCTTTAATCCAGGGCTGCCCTCCCCCAAGAGCATCCCAGTGGAGGGAGAATACCAAGTGTCAAGCAACCAGAAGGCAGGACTGCAGGCCCGCACATGCTGCTGTGTCCAGGCACTTTCCAGGCTGACCCGTGGTGATGCCGTACCTGAGTTTCTCACTACTCCTGAGCATCCTGGCTGGGCAGAGGCTTCGAGGGAGGCTGGAAACAAGGCTGGGTGCCCTTCCCCTTCAGTCTCCCGCCAAGGAAGGTCTGGTCTCATGCAGGCCAGACATACATAAATGCCACTCTGGACAGAGCCCATAACCCCAGGAGAGACTCCCCAAAATGAAAATGGAAAGACCACATGGATACCAGAGGGCCTGAAAACATTGTGTGGGGGGGAGGGGAGGGCGAGGAGCAGGGGAGGAAAAGATAAATCAGGGTGGGTCTCCAAGCAAATCAGCTGGCCCCAGCCCCTTCCCCTGGGATTCTATAGCTGCCTAAGCTCTCACCTTTGGGGGAGATGAAAAAGAATGAAGAGTACTCTCGGCTGAGTCATGGTGCCTCTGTTCCATCCTGAAGGACCAGTGAGGCAGTGGACACCTCTGGGCCTTGGTTCAGAAATAATATCCGTGAAGCTGCCTGGGGTGAGGAAGTGCCCGGGGCACCCCTTCCTGCAGAAACCTAACCTGGTGGCCGGGGAGAGAAGCCAAAGCCTCCGGGGGCTGGGAGTGGGAGATGTGATCGGCCCCCGGCCCCGGGCATAGGTCTGTGTGCAGGTGTGTCTGTGGAGAGTCATCTGCAGACTGCAGTGGGAGGGCCCGGGTCTGCCTGCTTTCAGGGGTGCCGTCTGGCTTGACGTTATCCTGAACCGTCCAGAGGATGGAGCACCGAGTGTGGACTTCGGTGGCTGGACCGAGACTCTTCCTTCAGTGGCCTCTGCGCTGGCCAGAGGAGGCGAGGCCAGGTCTAGGCCTCAGGGCGAGGTCCCCAGCAAAGGCGGGGCCTGAGGGTTGGGTCCTCCCTGGCTCACCCAGCCATCCTGCCCTGGCTGTGCCTGCTCAGCCAGCAGGGCCCGGCACTGCAGCAGGTCATCCCGGAGCCGGGCGATGTCCTGAGTGTGCTGGGCCAGCGTGCGGTTCAGCTGGTCCACGTGGCCCCACAGGCCGCCCCCGGGCCTGAGTGACTCTGGGGACGAGCTGTCCGGGCCCTCGGCCGGCAGGCCCAGCCTCCCGCACACCCCTTCCACCTGTGCCACCCTCTGGTCGAAGTGGCCCACCGCGTGCTGGAATTCCCGCGCGGTGTCCTGGCAGCGGCTCAGCCCAACGGCCACGTCGGCCACACCGGCCTTGAGCTGCTCCAGCTCCCCGCGCAGGCTCAGGACGTGCCTGCTGCCAGCCCGGAGCCTCGAGCCCTGGCTGCTGACCTGCTCCTGGATGGCGTGGACCTCGGCCTCCACCTTGCGTTCCCGCTCTTCCAGGGAGGTGTTGGCGGCCAGGAAGGCATCAGAATACTGGCTGACGGCGTCACTGAGGCCCGTGAGTGACTTGCTCACTGAGTTCAGATTGACCTTGAGGAGGGTGATCTCGCCTTGGAGAGCACTCCCTGCCGCTTCTGCCAGCTGCCCCTGGACCTCAGCCACGGTGCCATTCAGCTGCTGCAGCAGGGTGGCGTGGCTGGCAACCTGGCGTGAGAGCGCCTCGCTCCGGCTCTGCCAGGCCTTCACCTCCGCCACGAGATTGTCCAGGATGGCTGAGGTGGTGCTGGGGGTGCACGAGGTCTCCAGGGAAACCAGCCGCTGTTCCAGGACGGCCAGCTCTGTCTGCACGAGGGGCCGTGCCGCCCTGCCTGGCGGGGTGCTGTCGAGGCCCAGCTCCCTGGCCAGAGTCACCAAGCGCTCCTCTAGGCTGTGCACACGCTCTTCCAACGTGTTTCTGAAGCCGCTCACTCCCCACCCCCCCTCCTGCACCCCCAGACAGCAGCCCCTCCCCGCGTTCTCCGTCCCGTTGGGGGTCTCCAGGCCTTCCAGCAGTCCGTCCACGCCCCCTTCCAGCATGGCGGCAGAGAGTTGTGTGAGCTCATCTCTGGTGAGGGGGCCGGGGCCCCTCTGTGTCTCCGCGACAGCCTGCAAGTTCCTTTCCAGACTGTCCACGCGGGCACTGACCAAGGCCACCTGGCTGCAGCAGCTGCCCCCGCCAGCCACGCTCAGGCCCTGCAGCTGGGTACCCAGCTGGGAGAGCTCCCGGCGCAGGGCCAGCTCCCGGCCATCCAGGCTCTGGTGCAGCCTCCGGCTGGCCGCCTGGCCCTCCTCACACTGCTGCCGCACCTCCTGCACACGCAGGTCACACACGCTCTGCACGTCGTGCAGCTTCTGCTCGAAGCCATCCAGGAGGCTCCCCCAGAATCTGTGTAGCCGCTGGTCCACGTATTCATCTAGCAGGGCCAGGGAGGTGAGAGGAGATGGGGGAGCCTCCCGCAGTCGCTGCAGGTGGGCCTCGTGGTCCAGGGCCAGCTGGCGCACCTCGTTCAGCAGCTGCACCTTGGTCTGGAGTGTGTTGCTCACCTCTGTCACCTTGCTCAAGATCTCGTCCAGGGCAGGTGTGAGTGGCCCTCCAGCCCTGTCTCCGGGGCGCACAAACCCCTCCGGGATGACCCCAAAGCCTACAGGGGTAGCAGGAGCCTTGGGGCTACCAGTCATCCTGTTGGGATCCTCATGGCTGGCCGCCAGGCCACTGAGGGCACCATATGCTTGTGCCAGGCGCTGGATATCACCCTCCAGGCGTGCCAGCCGCTCACCTATCAGCCCTGGGCCTTTCCTTCCTGGGAAAGAAGAGACACCCGGGGTGTGACTAACCCGGCTCCCGCAGCTTGTCCAGCTGCCAGGCCACCTGGGACATTTCCTGCTCCCTAGTGCCCTTCTTGCTGGGTGTAGCTCCCTCAGCTTTGGGAGCGGCTGCTGGAGCTCACCCTCACCCCCAGCTCTGCTGGCGCTCAGCCAGTCTGGATGAGCCCCTTCCGCACCCCCCCCTCCCCCAAGCATCCTGATCAGCTTGTAGGGGCTCCAAAGGAGGGCGGACTCACCGTGTGGGCTGGGAACCACCCTGCTGGAAGGAGCAGGCCGGGAACCGGGGTCCAGCTGCGCTGAAGGAATCTGGGGCTCAGGCTCCAGCTGAGGTGGGGTGGCCCTGTGGCCCATGAGATGCTCAGGGCAGCCTTGTCCAGTGAGGCCAGGGCAGCAACGCCAGGCAACATGTGTCATGGTCTTGTAGCCAACCTTGTATGTGGGTCTGAGCACCGTGCGGTACCTGGGCCAGGGTGGAGAGAGGGCAGGACCTGTACCTGTGGGCTGCAGCTCTCCTGCCCGCTGGCAAGCGACCTCGCCCCTGGCTGGCTTTCAGAACCCTGTAGACACTGTCAAAAGGTCTGTTTCTCCATCTCCACACAGCCCCCAGGCGGTCTCCTTTTTCTGTGTTGAAGGTGATGGCAGAATGGGTGGTGGCAGACTCGCTAGGGGAGGGTGCAGGCAGAGGCCCCGCCCCTCCTGCTTGGGGCCAGCCAGGATGTAGCCCCAAGCATCTCCAGACCGGTTGGACCCCCTGTAGCTCAGTGTCACCCAAAATTCCACTCTAGGGTCACCTGCTCAGCTGTGTACCTGTCCACTCACTGCACATTGGAGCCAACGGGTTTGTCTTCAGACTTGGGTTTGACTTCTCCAAGTACAAGCCTGTGCTGGATCCCACCTGTGCAACGCCACAGGCCCCCACACGGCCCCACCTGTCTGGCTGAGCCCAGCGATCTGGCTTCGCTACCCACCCCCTTGGCCTGCCTCTGCTGGCGCCTACAGACCTCCCTGGGTCTGCCCAGGGTCCCTTCCAAGTGGCCCTCCACTCTCTCCCTCCCAGCCGGCCTCCCCGCCTGCCCTCGCCCAGCTTCATCTCCGGTTTCCTCTTTGCTTCCTGCTGCCTCTGCCCTCTGCCTCCTCCTCTGGCCCCCTTGCAGCTCCTGGACCCTAACCCAAGCCCGCCTCTGCTCTCCCTGGCCGCCTCCAGCTGGCTGTGTCGGGGCTGGTGAGGCTCTTGGGAGCCAGAGGAGTTACAGCCCTGTGGGCTTGCTGCTGCTCACAGTTGGGGTGGTGCTTGAGACCGTGCCGGGATGGTGCCCAGGGGTCCAGAGTAGGTGGGCAGGGGCACTCACGTGACTGTCCCAGGGCACTTGGGGCCCCGTCCGCACTGCCGGTACTCAGCCTTTATGTAGCTCTCTGCTCCCTCCTGCAGGACACAGGTCACGTTCCTCTGAACCACATAGGCGCAGAGAGCCCTGCAAGGAGAAGAGCATGCTTAGAGGAGCTAGGCCAGGCCCGCGGGGCTCCCGGCCCACGAGGCTCCTGTCCATCCCCTGCCTGTGGACCTCAGCAGGAGGCCAGCTCCCACTTCTCTCCTGTCCCTTCTTGCTCCTGGGAGCCCGGTTCCCTGGCAGGCCAACACATGGGCCCTCCGATACCAGTTTCCTAAGTGGATGGGTCACGGGCTAAGTTCTATAGGGACCCAGGAGCCAGAGGTGGCTGTTCCACCTGCGGGCTCCCCTCTGCCTCCACGCCTGGAGAAGAAGCCCACCAGACTCCCTCTCACAGGCCTTGCCACCATCTCCACCCGCCAGCTACTTCACTAGCTCTCAATTCCTTGGAGCTGCCAGGATTCTGCCATCCCAAGTTCCTGCCCAGATGCACTTTCCCCTTCCTACCTAACATTCCCGAGGAATGCATCCCACCGAGCAGTTTTCTGACCCCTGCCTTCGCTGCAGGCAGTGCCTCACCCTCACAGCACTTCTTGTATCACCTGCACCAGGAAGCCTGCTCTGCTGTGTCCTGGCTCCAGACTCCGCCACAGGGGTGTGAGGGCCTCTCCTCCTACAGTACCTCTCAAATCCAGAGGGTGCAAATTGAGCTAGCCTCCCACGCAGAAACCTCAGCTCACCTGACAGGCCAGTCAGCAAGCCACTGTCTACTAAAGACCAGAAGCTGTGGCTAGACCACCACTGAGCACGGGCCAGGACCCAGGAGCCCTGCCAGCTCTGCAGCCCAGAAGTTGGGGGTCCTAGTGGGGTGCTAGGGCCAGGCTGACCGCGAGAGGGGGCGGGACACGGAGCACAGGGCTCCACCCCTTACCTAGCCGGGTGGGGCAGGGGAGAGCTGGGAGGCCCAGGCGCGGGACTGGGAGGGGGAAGGCGCCCCTGCGCGCTCCCTCCACCGGCGGCCTCCTCCTCTCCCCCCACCTGGTCCACTACGCCCGGGGTTTGCACACAGCGCAGCTGGAAAATGTTACTTCTCTGGAAAGGTTTCCGCGGGCACTGCCAGG